GGATCAACAGAAGTCAAATCAGGTGAACACGGAGGCAAATCAGCCGAAAGTAAGGGTAAAGAATCAGGCGAGAAGCCGCCAGGATCAGCTGAAGCCAAATCAGATGAGCATGGCGGCAAATCGGCTGAGAAGAAACTGAAAGAGTCCCAAGAGAAGAACCCAGCATCGGGAGAAGGCAAACCTGGTGAAGCAGAAGTGAAACCAGAGGTTATCGTAGGTTTGGGCGAACCAACGTTTTTTCAACCGAAAGAACCAGATAATGATAAAATAGAACCAAAGACCGGGAATGAAGTAGCGCCAGGAACTGAACGTACCGTTTTAATGGCACCAGTGGCAGCGAAATCGGAAGAGTCTGGTGAGAACAAGGAAGCAACCCCAGAAGAAGAATCAAGCGAGCAAGAAAGTGAATCAAGTGAAGAGCAACTGCCGAAGGTACCAGATATGAAGAAACCCAAGAAATCAGTTGGTGACAAGAAGCCATCTTCGAAAGTGAAATCAAATGGATCACCTGGTGATTCATCAAAGGAAGTGATAGATACCGCTGTTGTTGATTCTGGTGCGAAAGCGAGTCCTGCAACCGACGACTCGAAAGAATGGGAAGAGTATGGTCACAAATATAAGAAGGTCAGGCACTATTCATCATCAAAAACTAACATCACTCATAGAGCTAGTGGAAGTAGTAGTAGTGAAGAAGGTACACCGAAACAATTCGGTTGCAAGTTCCCTGCTTTCAATACACATTCAACGCGCTATCGTAAGTATTGTTTTTACTGAATTAACGATATAAGATTTATGTTTTTGCTAGAGTCAAGTTTAATGCGTCTGTTGATCGAAGTTCTGGCTCGTCTTCGTTGTAAGTAGCTTTGTTTATGTGTTTAAATGATTAGCTTACCCATATCTCTGTAAATTCTTCTTCAGATCAACAAGGGGATATATCTACTGAATCCAACAGCTCAAGTGACTTTCCAGAAGACATATAATTTTATTGCTTGTATGATAAACTTTACATCCTAAGAAAGAAATACTATTTCTCCTGATATACTGGTGTAATGCTTTTTTATCACCTAATAAATACATATATCGATGGTTGATGTGACTCTTGAACAACAAGTTGATAATCAATCTGCGGAATATTTATTTGAACAAATATTTTTAGAAGTCATGAGGTTCAAAATGGAGAAAATAGAATTGATTTAATGTAAATTTGTTTCGGTGCCGTTCGCTTCTCGCTCCCTAAGTCTGGTTGTTTGAGCTACTAGTTTCTTTGGGCGAGATTGATCGTTGAACGATTCGAGATGGCAAAAGAAAAAAATAGTATTTTGATGAATTATTTGAAATAAAGTCATTCAGAAAGATGAGGAACGGGTTCAGCTGTTTGGTTTGATTTATCACTAAGGCCGACGAGTAAAAGATAATCAGAGAAGATCCTAAACGCAAAACAGATTGATTGTAATTACTAGACACGTATCAATTTTCATCGATCAATCAACAAGAAGAAATCGGTGAGATATTAATTTGACTATTACAAACGGTTGATCGGTCAAAAATTATTTCCATACGATATATTCGGTTTTCTTGTGGAATATTATAAATAAGTTTTTCTTAATCAATACGAACAGCTATACATAGTGGCGCTTAAAATTGATCGCACATATGAAAAATGACGTTGTTTCTTGAATATCTTAAAATGAGTTTATGATAGAGAGTTTCGATTTTTGCGAAAATATAGTCCGGTTGTAATAGCATATATGCTGAAAATTTCATCTTTCTGAGTCGTATATTTGTTGTGCTAGATCCACAATAGTAAACCTAATTTTCTTTGATTTGACTCTAAATTGATCTTACATCTCGCATAAAAATAGATAGATATTGATCAACTAAAACTGTCGCATATCATCCTTCTCAGTGAGAAGACTCGTTTTTAAAAAGTTTTTACTGAAAACTCAGTTGAAACCTTGTTGAAATATTTTAGAAATGCGCCTTTACATTCAGAAGGACAAAATGCGACAGTTTTAATTGATCAATATCTATCTATTTTTGTGCGAGGTGTAAGATCAATTTAGAGTCCAATCAAAGAAAATCAGTTTTACTATTGTGGATCTAGCACAACAAATATACGACTCAGAAAGATGAAATTCTCAGCATATATGCTATCACAAACGGACTATATTTTCGCAAAAATCGAAACTCTATATCATAAACTCATTTTAAGATATTCAAGAAACAACGTCATTTTTCAGATATGCGATCAATTTTAAGCGTCACTGTATACTAGCTTACCAATATCAAATAGGTTTACTTAGATTTACTATTGACATGTATGCCGATTTCTGTTGATTGATCAAGAAATATTAGCTTGTCTATTTCTCAATTGAATAGAAAGCTGTTCATTAGATATAGATAAAATTTTCTTTCGTTTTATCAATATTTTAGTTGATTAGTTCGAATGATTCAGAGTTACTCGTTTAAACATGTTCATCATAATCGATACATGTGGATAGCAAAAGAATATATTTCATACTTTTAGATAATACTTTTTTCGCTCGATATAATAGTTTATCCAATAGAATGAATGAATTCAAAGAAGAATCACCTTTGTCCATAGATTAATCTTTATTTTTTGTAAAGACTTACATATTTTTCTGAATATGAACATAAGTAATAGAATACCTCAAATGAAAACATTATGAATTCCTTGCGAAACAAAACTTGCTATTTGATTGCTGTCTATTTTTAAGTTATAGTTTTTTATATTTCTTCGTTATTGGTTGTAAATTTTTATATTCATATGACTCTGACATAATATCAATCGAGTACTAGTGTAACAAGCAAATGCATAACATACTAACTCTTCGAAGTTCATGTATTCAGTAATACAACAGTACAGATGCATCGAATAAACCAATCATTAATTTAATAATGACGAATACCATCAATACAATATCAATGAATAAAAACACTTTTTATTACGTGCTTATATATCAAACAAAGCATAATTTACGAACGGAGATATTATAGATGCTTTGATTTAGAAATTAAAAACATTTAAGTCAATAACTACTATATTAATAGGTATCAGGTTCAATTTGAAACGATGATTTGAAATTGTTTCATAGCTTTGGTACATTTCATTATATAAAAAAAATATTTTTTCGAAAGAAAAATGTCTAGGAGAAATATATCTATGTATCACAGTCAAATGATTATTCTTAATAATTATATATGCGTCTCATTTTATTACTTCTAACGTTTCATTCTTGTAATACCTGTAGCAACATCCCCTATATCTATATATCATTACTTCATAACCATTTCATTCAATAGATATTTATAGAAAGATGCTATATATTAGGAACCTTCTTTTTTTTTATACATATTTGATAGAAAAAAACAAGAAGCACAATATTCAAACATAATATATAAATAACAGATACAATTATTTTTCCGCTCATTATTTAATACTATTAGTCTTCATGAAAAAATTCATCGAAATCGAAATTATATCATTCTATTACAAAAGCGAAGTATCATTAATTTATTTTCATTGTACATCTTGTATTGCCTTATCTTAGATGTATTTACTCTATTATAAATCACATAATATCGTAGATTATCTATATTTCATTATCTTTTCCTTTGCCAGAGCGATGATTTTACAACCATGTTCTTAGTATTACTTAAAACTATGATATAGAAACAAGTTTATTTACAAAATCAACTTAAAACAATAGAATCGAATCCAATGTATAACATGACAATAGTTAATATCAAATGAAGACATTATTACAAGTTGAAATGATATTATTTCGAAAATGAAATGATTGATATCTTTTCTATTCTATTTTCTTTTTCTATATTTTCTCTTCACAACTAATCATTAAAAAAACAATCATATTATCAATTATCAATATTTTTTACATATTTCT